TGCCATCCCATAATGATCCGCTGCCATCCCATAATGATCCACGGCCATTGATGCCATCCCATAATAGCACACAGCCCTGTGCTGACCCCCGTGACCCCACACTGACCCCACCGTGACCCCTGATTGACCCCATGACCCCACATTGACCCCATCCTGACCCCATGACCCCAATTGACCCCATGTCACCGCACTGACCCAATCCCGACCCCTGACCCCGTGCTGACCCTGTGACCCTCACCCTGTGACCCCTAATTGACCCTGTGACCCCACATTGACCTCGTCCTGACCCCGCGACCCCAGAGTGACCCCATCCTGACCCTATGACCCCTAATTAACCCCGCGGCCCCATCCTGACCCCACCAGACTCCAGGAGCTCCCATTGACCCCACTGACCCCATTCTGACCCCATGACCCCATTCTGACCCCATGACCCCACTCTGGCCCCTCCCTGACCCCGTGACCCCTCTCTGACTCCATGATCCCACAACTCCATGACCCCACCTTGACCTCTGACCCCATAACCCATCTGTGACCCCTCTATGACCTCTGACCCCGTGACCCAAGACCCCGTGACCCCCCGTGACCCCTTGACCCCATTCTGACCTCTGACCTCTGACCCCCGCCAGCCCTGGCGCTGCTGTTTGCGGAGGAGCCGGGTTTGGTGCTGGAAGTGGAAGAGGGGAGAGCGGCGGCCATCTTGGAATGCTACAGGAAGAGGGGCGTCAGCGTCAGCCATATTGGGAGCAGCGGCCCCATGGGGCCCAGCGCCGAGGTACGGCCTTATTATGGGATGGCCGGGGGGGCACGTGGGGCAGCCATGTTGGCGGCCATGTTGGAAGCCATGTTGGGAGCCATATTGGGAGCCATATTGGTGGTCGTGGAGGCAGCCATGTTGGCAGCCATATTGGGGGCCATGGTGGCAGTCATATTGGTGGCCATGTTGGCAGCCATGTTGGAAGCCATATTGGTGGCCGTGGAGGCAGCCATCTTGGTAGCCATATTGGATGCCATGTTGGAAGCCATACTGGTGGCCATGGAGGCATCCATGTTGGCAGCCATATTGGAAGCCATGTTGGTATACAATGTTGGAAGCCATCTTGGCAGCCATGTCAGCAGCCATGTCGGCAGCCATGTTGGTAGCCATATTGGCAGCCATGTTGGAAGCCATATTGGGAGCCATTTTTCCAGCCATGTCGGCAGCCATGTTGGCAGCCATACTGGTGGCCATCTTGGCAGCCATGTTGGAAGCCATATTGGGAGCCATGTTGGCAGCCATATTGGAAGCCATGTTGTCAGCCATGTTGTCACCCATCTTGGCAGCCATCTTGGCAGTTGTGTCGGCAGCCATGTTGTCAGCCATATTGAAAGCCATGTTGTCAGCCATGTAGTCACCCATCTTGGCAGCCATGTTGGCAGCCATTTTTCCGGCCACGTCGGCAGCCATGTTGTCCCGCAGGTGTCGGTGTCGGTGGGCGGCACGGTGGTGCTGCAGGACTCGGTGGGATCCCTGCGGGCCCTTTGGGAGCGGACGAGTTTCCAGCTGGAGCGGCTGCAGACGACGCCGCGCTGCGCAGAGATGGAGGAAGAGGAGCTGAGCCGCCGCCAGGGGGCGCAGTTCTGCCTCAGCTTCCAACCCATCGCCAGGCTGCCGAGGCCTGTCGGTATGGGGGGCTGCGGGGGTGTGGGGTGATGGGGTGGTGGGGTTCGGGGTTATGGGGTTATGAGGTTGTGTGTTTATGGGGTTGGGGTTATGGGGTTGTGTGATTATGGCGTTGTGGCTTTGTGGGGTTATGAGGTTTGGGGTTATGCATTTATGGGGTTTGGGGTTATGGGGTTGTGCAGTTATGGGGTTTTGGGGTTATGGGGTTGTGTCGTTGTGGGGTTGTGGAGTTACAGAGTTGTGGGATTGTGGGGGTGTGGGGTTGTGGGGTTGTGGGATCTATGGGGTGGTGGATCTATGAGGCTTTGGATCTGTGGGGCGCTGGATCTATGGGGCAGTGGATGTATGGGGCAGTGGATCTATGGGGCGCTGGATGTGTGGGGCAGTGGATCT